CAGGACTCCAATCAGCACATACTAATTAAAAGTTCTTATTTGTATTCTGGATCTCACCACTGCAGGTGACAGCAATTTCTGAATTCTTATGTAAGTTATGCAAGATGATTTTGGCATTTGTATCTAGGTCAAATGATTGAGATCTTCATGCCATGAGTCTCTCTCTACCTTGCAAGTCCTAAAACCCAGCCAAAATGAACAAGTTCTGTGTGCACAAGTAGTACTGTTAGCTATAGAGCTTTCCCAGGGATAAGTCTATGAAAATCATTTCCATTCAAGTTAAATTGAAATGAAGAGTATTCATGCAAGGCCCATACTTGCTGGACTTTGCAATATGATTTCATTAGTCCGCCATCAGCAGTCTAGCTCCTAGGAAGCATAACCAGGATAACGTAAAGGGTACCAAATATCCTTAAAAAGTCATTAGTGATGTTTTGTTGGACCTGAATCTATCCTTAAGTTGAATCGTGATGGCACTACAGAAATAGCCTCCACTCTTGCAGCTGGTGGGTCTTCTTTTCAGCTCCAGAATAACTGTACAATGCAGTTAAATTTGCCAACATGTCCGTGGAAACAACAGAATATAAAAATATGTGTACTCGTGACACACGGGTTAAATGCAGTACTACAGTGAAGACTCTGCTTATGACCTGAGTTTGATTCTGGGCTCAGGTAGTTGGCTCGAGGTTCACTCAACTTTCCATCCTTCCAGGTCGATAAACTCAGTACCCAAAATGTGTAGCCCGCATAATTAAATTGTGAACTGCCCAGAGAGAGCTTTAAGCACTTGGTGGTGGTATCGTGTATAAGCACCACACTCTGCTTTACTCAGCTGCTCTGAAAGTAGTTGTGAGGTATGGCTATTATCTAGCTAGCTTTAGAACACAGGTGAGAAAGATGGGGAGAAAGTGTTTTTGGACTCAGGATGCAACCTTTTGGTCAGAAATATGGCGTGAACCTCCCTTGGACCATGTTATGCCACAGAGGTGAGTATCATCTCGACGATGCAACCTTATGGTCAGAAATATGGTGTGAACCTCCCTTGGACCATGATCTGCCTATGGACGATATATACTGCTATATGTTATGCCACAGAGGTGAGTATCATCTCCGCCTCCACCCTAGCAGATTGTGGTCCTTCCAAGTTGCCCACTTTTATGATGTTAGGTCTCGGAAGGTTTTGTGCAGGTTAGCTTGCTGGCTAACCTGCACAATGGAAGTTCAGGAACTGGGCAGGCATGCCGTATTCAAGAAACAGGTAATTAGAGGTGCTGAGTCGATCTTTCCCCTTGTTTTCCCATGAAGCAACAATTGCAACCTGGTTACTTCATTGGGTGTCACCTGCAAGGCATTTACAAGGGTTGAACACTTCCCACTGGAAGGGAACTTAATGGCCAAAGTCTATTCAACTAGGTTTGGACTTTGTGGCCTCTGCCCGTTGTACTCCATTCAAATGTGTCAGGAGGTCCTCCATGAAGGGTGGACAGTAGGGTACCCACTCCTCTGGACTTGCCTGGGCTGCCCTGCCAACCAGGCTATGTTGTGGTTCCTATCCTGGCTATCAAGTGCAGCCCAGATAGGTTTTAAAGGTTCTCCAAGTTCTAGCTTTCTTTTTATTCACAGCCCTGCCCTCATCCTTCCCTGTAAATGGAGAAACTTTATGGCATCTTACCCAGTATTGTCCCTGAAGTGCAGTCATCCCATGACCTGCATACGCTTCTGCTTCAGCAGCAGCAGCTGTGGTGGTGGGGCTAGGGAGCCACCCCGGGTGCATTCACACCTATACTTGACCTCTTTGGAGGGTCCAGTAATGGCCTGGTAAACTCAGCTGTGGTGGGAGGTGAGCAATGGTATAGTTTGCTTGCTGAAAAACAGCGGAACTAAGATGTTTTGCTCCCTGAGGCAAACAACAGGGCCACACCCCAGTCCTCATACTGGCATGAAGAGGAGCAGCAGATGGATTTTATGTCACCACTGGCAAAGGGACAGCGTCCTCTACCACACCAGAGGGCAGTAGGCCAGCTTAGGGGGCACAAGACAAATCAGGCCTGTGGCAAGCATAGTTTTCTAACTAAAGGGAAGCTGAAGAATAATGGCTAGAAGACTATTCCCCAGCCACCATTTGTTGCCTCAGGAGGCTGCCTCAGTGTGCCTTACAATAGGGCCAGCCCTGCACATCATGCCCTGAGCTCTTGGAAGAGATTAACAGTGTCCAAGGTAGACAATATTGAAAACAGAATGCAAGACCCATCTCTTCAGGCAGGCTTTTAACAATTATAACTGAATCCCTGAACCGCATAGCAGATAATTTTAATCTTTTTCATGTTTTCATGTTTTAATCTTTTAATTTTATTTTAAATCCTATATTGTTCAATTTGTCTTTTAATATTTAACTTACACATTGTGTGAATTTTAATGTTGTGAGCTGCTTTGGGCTCCTCGTTGGGAGAAAGGGGGCATATAAATGAAACTAATAATAATAATGCTAACTGGGAAATGCCTGAGTTTATCTGCCCCTGTCCTGCCAGCTCCAAATTAGGTTTCATTGAAAAAATATTATGTTTCTAGCAAAATGAGAAAATACCAACATCCTAAATGTGGCATCTGGTCTGCATGGTCTCACTTGCACAGGCTAGGCACCACGCAACACTCCAGCAATCAGGGGATAAACAAGCAAGGAAGAGCCAGTCCCCCGACAATTACCCCAAACAGCCAAGCTGTCAAGAGGTATAACCTGTTGAGCAGAAATGGAATAGAGAAATGCATTCGGAAATCTGCAAAGAAATCCATTTTCATACTCCCATTGCTTTCAAAAACTAGTAATAACATTTTTTGACCAAGCAGCCGGGTTGTGCGATGATGGAGAACGAAAGGCGTAAAGTCAGGGAAGATGAGTGAAAAGTGAGAAAATGAAATAGCATTAAGAAACTTGGAAGCTGAAATGAATGAAGACAGCACAAGAAGTAATGATGGCACTCAAAGGAAATACTTCATGTGGCTGATTCAAAACATAAAGGCCGTCTTCATTAACCCTTTCATTTCCCGCTTTTCAAAAAACGAGGAATGAAGGGGAACTCCGGTAGTTATTCAGGAAAACATGTTGTCATTCAAACTGTAACAGGCAAACAGAGGAGTGAACAGCACCAGGAGGCATACAACTCCAGGTTGGGAGCTGTCTTTTTTTAGGACTGTGTGAATCAGCAGAATTGGCACATAAAGAAATGCAGACCTTTCAAATGATTTATATTGCAAAGGAATGCTAGTTTGTGACTAAATCACGGGACAATGTGGATTCTGAAAGACGCTGCTGAGGGGAAGGTGTCACAAGAGGCCATTCATAAAAGTTGCACTTCAAGCATAAAACAGGCTATACCCAACAAAAACAGTTTTCATGGAGAATTGTTCCTCAGTTCCTACACTGGTTTGATTCCATTGCTGGCTTCATCTATTTGACAGTGAACAAGGAACCCTATAATCCACAGTCATGAGACCGATGATAAAGACTTCCCAGGTTGCCTGATAGAAACATGCTATTTGATATTTATTTGCCTTATTTATAGGCCACCTTTCTCCTGATAAGGGGACTTTGTCTGTGGATGGTAAGACAGCTGATACAGCATGCAGCACCCCTGTAACAAAAGTGGGCCGACATCAACCTTCTTCTGGTCTTTTTCATCTGTTCCTCCTATGTCCATGGCCCACCTACATTAGCAGCTATGTTGGCTGAAGAATTCTGAGAGCAACAGAATAACGAAGTCTCTTTTTCAAGCTGTGTTCCAATGTAATGGAGGCAATGTACATGAATAAAATACAATTCAAGGTAGTTAGCCTCATAACCTACAATTCTTACATAGCCTTACTGGTACGGCAGAGCCCAGATTAATGGTCTCCCTCAAGGATGAAGTCAATTTCTAGTCTGCAATAATTTTTTTGTATGTGCTGATCCTTAAATTCAATCTGTTGCAGTGGAGAGAAGAAGGACCTAGAGTGTGTGCATACATTTTGAAGACACATTTTCTAAGAGTAATATGAATATGCCCAGAATCAAAATTTTACTGAACAAAGATGAACAACAGGCCCATTGGAGTTGCAGATATTTCATGTACAACATGAGAAATCCAATGCATGCTTAGGATATGACTATAAAGTTGGAAACATCATTGATTGTGGTAGGAGAATGCTAGTAGGACAATCATACTGTGTTAAGATTCATACCGTGTTTCCCCGAAAATAATATTAATTTTTGCTCCAAAAACGCATTAGGGCTTATTTTCAGGGGATGTTTTGTTTTATAGTCATGTCATCTTCTGGTTGCTGCACAAAGGTTTCACTTAACTAGGGCTTATATTACGAGCATCCTGAAAAATCATACAGTACTAGGGCTTATTTTCAGGTTAGGTATTATTTTGGGGGAAAGAGGAAGGGTAGGTTTATGAACACCTCTACCTGTTACAATGACTAAGCTTACTGAATTCTTCAGCTACACCCAGCTGATACTCAGAGAGTCATTTCTAATACAGGAATGAAATAAATCCTTTCTATTTCAACCTCTTATGTATGTCAAGGATCCAGACTAAACAGCTGCCCCCCCAAGGAACTGCAAATTGTTCAGAAAACTACTTACAATTGTCAACAGTACAAATTAATTCTTTCACCTTCTCAATTTTTTAAAACATGTAATTAAGACTTCTTTCATTATTATCTCCCATGAAAAGATTAGCTGCAGAAGTCTGACTGAAAAAAAAATGTTCTGGTTTATTATATATATAATGGGGGTCTCTCTCTCTCTTTCCCTCTTAGGTTTTTGAAGAAAATGGAAGCTTTAATGAAATGCAGGTTTAACTAGATGTTTTTATTACTGTATTGAAGATGTCACACTCTCTCTTCCAACCATCCTATTCCTTTGCAAAAATGCTACTTTCCATCCATAGCAATTTCAGCAGCTCCAAAGGTTCTTTCTACCAACACATTAATCACCCCACTGCCATGTGTTATCTTACCTGCAGATGTAATTCGTCTTGCAAGTCTCTTGCAAATTCAGGCAGTTTGGTTTCTCCCTGTCCTCGTATGAACATGCAGGGACAATAGTCTGCCGCCTCCTCTCTGTACACGCCACATCTCGGCAAGAGCAGAAGAGCATCCCATAACTGTGCTTCGGGGGGACTTTGTCAAAAAATTGCCTCAGGGCCTTATGACACTTTCGCTTATTGCAGACATCACTAGACACACTGCTGGTACAAGGGGTTATGTAAGCCGACCGGAATTTCTTGCAGGTATCGTTTAGGTTACAGGCTTTTGCTGCATCCAAACAGTTGTTTCCTTTTGAAATGGCAGGCTCCACTGTATAAAAAAAGGGGGGGGAGGGGAAGAGAACCAGAATGATTACTATTCTCAATATTAATGTCACTTAAAAAATCAGGAGAAGGCCACATGGTCCTCAAAACAATACAAATGCAGGAATAGGTGATACCTTTATTGGACCATTAAGAAAATAAAACAGAAAATAGAGCGAGCTTTCGATGATAATTCATGTTTCTCAGACTCTGCCCCAAGTTCTCGTGGGTAGCTCCAAAGTAATATGTTTATATTAAGATCCTGAAAATTTCATGGCCACTGTTGGGGGCCACACACAGCTTCTTATGTGGAGACAGCTATAGCCTGCAGTCTGCAAGATTCAATGGTTCAGTGGTGACTAGCAATCTGATTTCCCCTTTTCCTCTCCCCTTTTCCATTTCATTTGAAACATAAAGAGTTTCTGTTTTATTTTCTTAATGGTACAATAATGGTATCACCTACATCTCAAAAATCATTGGCACTAGTTAAATGACCACAGGAGACAATAAGTTCATTGGTATGGGTCTATTGATTGGCCAATGGTGCAAATTATCTACTAAGTAGGATGAAGGGTTCACAAGATGATCCAGTGGAAATGAAGCCTTGTACATGACAGGTTCTTGCATGGAAGCACTCACACAATCCAGAACAGTACAGGGTGATCCAAGTGTATCTGAATTCACGGGGGTTTAGATGTATAGAATGAATTCTGCTTGAGTCAAAGTCCCACCTTTATTATTGCTATAGCTTTACACCTTCAGGTCATGGGCAACACTGTTTCAGGCATTATTTGCATCAGTTCTTGTTGTCCCACTGTGGAACTCTGAGGATCACACCAACTCCAAGCCAATGCAAAATGAAATAATTTGCAAACGATCACTGTAATGTTCCACAGAACTTCAGCATCATGGAAGTTATAATTATATATTAAAGACCAAGTTTATTTTGTCTACAATACAGTGTGCAGAAATGCATACTAAATCCAAGAATAATTTCCATGTAATTTGCAGGGCATATAATTATGCAATATAGGCATAGTAGACACTAATTACTATGTGATTACAGAGTAATTACATGCCTATTTGTTTCTGGAAGGCAAATGTTATGCAGAATGCTTGAAACTAGACTGCATTCAGTAAGCAGTTATCAAGAAGCCACTGGATTGGTTCTGAATTGTCATGTATCAAAAAAAGTGCTATTACATAGATACCATACATTCTAAAACTAGGAGATTTGAAGCACACTGCTATGGACTGCAGCTAAGCATTAATGGAAACATGGATATAAATCCTGTGTGTGAGGACAAGGAACTGCAATAATCTTCTCCTCTCTGCTAACAACAGTGAGAGATTTCACTGTTGACCGAAGAGAACAATTCTAAGTAAATGGTACAACTGCACAAGACTAAAATGCTTTGAGTTGTGTTTCTTAAAAAATTAGAAGCCTGGGAAGAGTTATTCTCCTGTTCTGAAACAATCATTCAGTCCTTCTCAGCTGGCTTCAAGCATGTATGGGCCACATCTGTGTACAAGGTTTGTTACTTCACGGAAAGGGGGGACACAAATGTTTTGTGCAAATTCTAGGGGCTAGAGATGGGCACGAACTACTGGTTAGACGGTTCATGCTGGGTTGGTTTTTATTTGAACAGGTGTTTGGTGCTTCCCAGTCCTGCCTCTCCAGTGGGCACCCACTCAAAGGCAGCACTCTGGCTTCCCTGCCCCACCTCCTCTGGGCACTGTCTCTGAGAGGGCGCCTGCCGAAGGAGGTGGGTTTGGGAAGCACCAAACACCTGTTCAGACAAAAAATGATCCACCAAACCATCTCAACTAGGGACCTGAGGTGGAATTTCTTCTAAGTTTGGTTCATCATCACCTTGACAGGCTCCCTTAACAAAAGGGATACCTAGCGCTCTCAGAGAACAAAGCGGCAAATTTGAAGCAGTGGCTACAATGGGGATACAAGAAGAGCATCAGGGACCTGGGGAACTGCTGTGGCTGCCTTTAAAGACGCATATGGCATACACTGATGTTACGTTACAATTAGGAAAGACTGCCCCAAACTCTAAGCATCAGGACAAGCTGGAGCACATTTACACAGTATAGCAGCTTTCCTTTAATGTTTAAACTGAACCTTAAGCCAGACTGTATTAGCAAAAACAGCAATGTATTTAGCTAAAAAGTTATTGCTGCACATATTCCAATCCCTTTAGTGGGTCTATTGTTTTGTGACATGCAAATTTATGATTAGCAGCAACTGGAATGGTGCAAAACATGAAAGTATTTAATGTTCAGAACAGTCACATCCCTTAATTTTTAGAGCCATCTACAGATGTAAGTCCCATTAACTTCAGCTTGGAGCATGCCTACAGAATACTTTGAGGACCTTCTTGACAGTTATCAAGTGATTTATATCCTTTTTTTCTCACAAATGAGACAACTTTTCGCTGAAGCAGATGTTCAGACTCAGTGTTTATGAAAATCTATGCATCTTCTGCATTTACACCTGCTATTCCCTCTACGGATAAACCCCTCTGACAATTTGCAGACTATTAATTTGTTAAAGGAGTTAGGACATTTAGGATGGGTACAAAACTATTTTATTTGGATTTGTGTGAGCTTTATAATGATAACAGATTAATCTTAACAAGAAAGACATGAAAGTCTAGGCACATAAGTGTTCATGCTCCAGTCCTAAAGAGGCTTACCGGTGAGTGAGCACCTCTCAACACAGTGGGAATAATTCTAATAAATGTGCACAGGAGAAAACCATAAATCCAGAAGCTCTTTATACTTTACACTCAGTGTGCATTCACTTGTTGACATGGTTACAAGAATCTAGTGCTACACAAGCTTCCTCTCTAACACATAAGGGCAAAAAGCCTGAAGAAGAACAAGCCCATCATGTATGTACACAGGCCCTGCCCCCATATCACAACTGTTTTTGGACTACAACTCCCAGAATCCGTCAGCCATCACTTTCCATCTTTGTCTAGGTTCCTGTGCATGCTAGCCCCTCAACCTCTGACCTTGCTCTGTTGAGCAGCAAGCTCTGTAATACAGTTCTGTTTGCTACTGCTTTGACATAAGTAGAACATTTCAGAAAACTGAAGACTAAGTAGGACCCTAAGTAGGACCCTAAGTAGGACACAGTGTTTCATTCACAAATATGAGTTGAACAGATACACGTCTACCCTGAGCTACGAACAGACGAAGCTTCAGCTTTCAAGCAAGTATATGCCTTTATTTCTGGAGGTTCACTTTGTACATATGTGAAAATAATTATCTGGAACATACTACTTGCTCACTTTTTGAGATGTAGATTTTGTTTTCAGTTTCTTAGGAACATTTGAAATTTGAATTTTGGGTACCTTTATGTCCCCCTCCTAAAAGAAGAAATGTATGTGTTCAGGTCTTAGATTTTCCTTAGGAAAAGAATTTCTTTGACTGTAAATGCACCAAATTTTAGTGTTTAGAGCTAAAAAGAAGGGAGTGTATCTGCATAATTTTGATACTCTAATTCAGTGTTTCCAAACCTTTTTTTTTGAGTCACATACCCCTTTTTATAAAAGCCAAGTAACCTGCCCCCCCCCAGCCTCATCGTTGGTTGTATTATATTTTTGCCAGTAAATTTGACACATTTCCCTGTAAAAATAATTTGGGACTATCTTTGAAGGTCTGACTTTTCCAGTAGCGGGTGGTACCACCCTCCACCTCCCTGAGCAAACTGTCGGTAACTTTCCAGATTCCTGCTTCCGCCACCACGCCCACCTCTCTGATGACAGCCCAAAGAACTAGCATTTTTTGAGTCACACACCCCTTTTTATAAAAGCCAAGTAACCTGCCTCATCATTGGTTGTATTATATTTTTGCCAGTAAATTTGACACATGTCCCTGTAAAAATAATTTGGGACTATCTTTGAAGGTCTGACTTTTCCAGTAGCGGGTGGTACCACCCTCCACCTCCCTGAGCAAACTGTCGGTAACTTTCCAGATTCCTGCTTCCGCCACCACGACCACCTCTCTGATGAGAGCCCAAAGAACTAGCATTTACCATTCTGGGCAGGATTTAAGAGAGGCAGGCCACAAACAGTGTTGCTTTTCTCTCCAGCTTCTTTCTGCCTGCTCTAGCCAGCTGTGAAAGAGTTGCCAAAACAGCACCATCACCACTGAACTGTTTACTTTTCCTTTTCCCTTTCCTTCCTCCTCCCAGGCCAACAAAGAAGGAAAGGGGGGAAAGAAATCAGAAAGGGAGAGCTGAGTTAGAAAGAGGGGAGTCAGTGGAAGGCCCTTTTGAAGAATGCTGGCCACTCTTCCTTAAGCGGGCTCATAAGTCTCGAGTCCTGCCCCCTGCCTGATGCCACTTGGTTTCACCTTTCACCCACGCCTTGCACCCTGCCTTGTTGGATTTATGTCTGGAGCCACGGTGAGCCCCCAGAAAACATTTTGTGACCTCCCCTTGGGGAATTGCAATCCACAGGCTGGGAACCTGTGCTCTAATTAGTGAAGGTGGTCCAGGCATCTTCACACATAAGATGTGCATACTAAATTATTGTTAACATTGCAACAATTGTATGTACAGTTTGAGTAAAAGAGCAATAGCAACCCTCTTCCTTCTTTCCTATGTCCCATGCGCTACATGCTCAATGCACAGAAGGCATACAAGAACTCACAAACCCGTCTTTTACACCCTAGAGGAGAAACGTTATCTCCTGTGTCCACGCTAGGACAAACAAAAAGATGAGGACCTGTGTTTCCCTGCTACGTAACCAAGGGTATAATGCTTCTGTCTATGGTTATGTATCGGAGTGCTCCTTTTCCAGTTCTACAGAGAGCTTTGCAAACCTCTTTATAGAGAGACGGCACTGCAAAGCAGCACTAGGTAAGCAACTTTACAAAACCATACAAAGACAACTGATCCAGGCTTGGGAAGCTATCTCCAATGTTACCACATCAACGATCCACTAACCTAGAGGGATGTTAAAAGAGCTTCCTACAATGTAATTCTAT